GCAAACCCTTCTGGATGACAAGCCCTGGTGTCCCTCACTGTCCCATCTGGGCACAGCCCACTCCAGGGCATCCCAGTCAGCGCTTTCCATGCTGACACCATCGTGTGTCCCCATCATCCCAACACAAACGGGATGAGGAGTCACCCCACCAACCCATCGGGGACACCAGCATCAAACCCAGGATGAAGGAGGGGACACAAATCTATGTCCCCAAGAGGCAGCAGCGCGGTGCTGAGGCAGGAGGGAGCACAAGGTGGGTGCGGGGGCTCGTGTCACAGCCCACCAGCCATCTGCCCCACGTCAAGGGACACACAGAATTATCCAGATTGGGAAAAAACCTTCAAGCTCATCGAGTCCAACCATGAACCCAACACTGGCAACCATCTGCCCCACGTCAAGGGACACACAGAATTATCCAGATTGGGAAAAAACCTTTAAGCTCATGGAGTCCAACCATGAACCCAACACTGACCAGTCCCCGACTAACCCATGTCCCTCAGCACTGTGTCTACACGACTCTTCAGTCCCTCCAGGGATGGGGACTCCACCACTGCCCTGGGCAACCCCTTCCAATGCCTCAGAACCCTTTCAGCAAAGAAATTCTTCCTCACATCCCATCTCAACTGCCCTGGCCACAACTGGAGCCCATTTCCTCTTGTCCTGTCCCTTGGGCCTTGGGAGAAGGGACCCCAAACAAATCAAAAGTGTGGGGTGAGCACCCACTGCAGCGACACAACCCAGCACCCAGCACCCAGCACCCACCTCTGGGAGATGGTCCAGCTGCTCACTTCCCAAAGCAGATGCAAATTGCAATTAACTGATTGCTCTGCTCCAATTTGGGGAGCTTCAAGGATTGGGGGGTCTGCCACAGAGTACTGGGGTGCTCTCCTCCCAGTCCAGCCCCAGTTTGGGATGGTGTTTTCCTAGAGGGAGGTTGGGATGGGAAGCAAAGAGGCTGGGGCTGCCCCCCACCAAGTACAAGGGTATTTATTTCATCGGTACAAGACAGACAGCACCTTCCATGTGTTGGGCTCTTGGTTACTGGTTTGTACATTCAGAGCCGCAGCCGGCTCGGCCGGAGCGAGGAAGGGGAGTGGGTCCCATTCGGACCCCCCAACATCCTTGGGGGGGACCCCCCCTCCTCTGCCCTTGTGCCCGTGGGTGCCCGAGCCCCGGGGCCCCGTGCGAGCGTGTCTGAGTGCTGAGGTTGGCTGTGTGCTCCTCCGTGCAGTCTGTGAGGGGCAATGCTCCCCCCTTTCCTTCCTCCCTACCCTCCTCCTCCTCCTCTTCCTCTTCCCCTGCCCTCAGGAGGGGGGGGTCAGGACCCCCGACCCTCATTTCCTCGTGTGCAGCGTGTCCTGGAACTTGGTGCTGGTGTAGCGAAGGTGGAAACCCTTCTTGTTGATGGTGTCATCTGAGTGGAAACGGATCATCACGGAATCTCCAGCTGAGTAGACCTCCTCGGGGGGCTGCAGGGGTGAGGGAGCGGGGGGGGGATTAAGGACCACCAGCATACCCAGGA